CAGCTTTGCAACTGTTGTAAAATTCTTTAATATGATTGGTTTATACATTTAGATCTGTAAGGAACCAAAAGCAAGAACCAATCGTATTGAAGAATTTTACAACAGTTGCAAAGCTGCTTTCTCTGCTGAACGCAGCCATTGTTACTGTTAGGTCAGAATCAGACTACGCATTGAAGATTGAGATTGAAGATTGAAAAATTCAAATTTAACCAATCGAAATGAAAGGAGCTAAAATTTCTTTGTCCTTATTGGTCAAATTTCAATCTTCAATCTTTAACCTCAATCTTCAATGCGTAATCTGATTCCGGCCTTACGGAAGGTGTTTGCCATGGCCTTAAACAATTTTAACCTATCAGAAATCGTGTATTCCGATGTATCCGATTTCTGATAGGTTAAAATCGTTTATTCTTTATTCCTATTTCTTATTCCTTCTATTGTGCGCAGGACCTTACGTCGATTTGTGTACAACGGTACAAAGCTTTAAAGTGCACTCAGTGCTCACCAGGGAATCGATTCTGTATCTTAAAACGAGGTGAAAATTACAAAAGTGAGCGAATTTATTAGAATACTAATAATTTCATTGGTCTACACCTAGTATATTTGCTCATTTTTGTAATTTTCACCTTGTTTGAAGATACAGAGTTGATCCTCTGCTCTGCGGGCCTCTGTTACTTCTGCCAGTGAAAAACGCTTTTAAAAATGGTCATATATTTGCGATGATGCGCACGCATTTCTATCAATTCATTTCCAGCGCCAATCTCTAATCATATCTACATATGATCCATGGCTGATTACACGTGCGTTTAGTACCTTAACCTTAACCACGATTGTGCTATGCTTGTAATATGTATGTTCTAAATGATTACTAGGACGGCTCATATATGTAATGATTTTTATGAACAATATGTGATATTTGTGTATTCAAATTCTGTTATTTTCAGATTACTTTTCTTAACTTTTTGATATCACACGAAATTGAGTTTAAATTAAAATACGTAACTGATTTTATGCTTGACTTTATCGACCTTTCTTAATGAATATTGCTGCCTTCTAATCCTTTACTAGTAAATTCACAGTTTATTTTCACAAATTCTTATGTGTGAAGTACATATGATTCTACTTTGATTATTTTCTTCAGGCTATAGACAAACTGCAAGATGGGCCTGACCAAGCAGTATTTGAAATATGTACCAGCAGGTAATGCAAATATAATTGCGAGTCCTCGATGCAATGTTGTCTTTGTAAAGTTGGATGGTCAAGAAGGTAGATTTGTAGCTGCTGCTGCATGTGAACATGTATACATTTGGGATCTGCGACTTGGAGAGAAGGTAAATTGAAAAATGAAGGAACTTAATAGGTTTAATATTTTTATATTTCATGATTGTAATAATAATTTCAGGCACAAGTATTATCTGGAGAAAAGGTATGCGTAACACGTCTGGCTGCATCACCTGATAAAAAACACATTGCAGTTGGTTATGCAGATGGCACAGTGAAAACTTTTGATTTAAGTACTGGCGAAAATGTTAGCATATTTGTAGGACATAAATCTGAAATAACAACGTTGGCATATGATGTATTAGGACATAGACTAGCCACTGGTTCCAAAGTAAGAATCTTTTACAAACACAGCAAAATTATAAACGCTTATATTTTTTATTTATGTAACAGGATACAGATATTATTATCTGGGACATTGTGGCAGAAACTGGAATATGTCGGTTAAATGGACACAAAGGTGTTATAACCAAGCTGGTATTCATGAAGGAGCATAATATTATTATTAGTGCAAGCAAAGATACATTTGTAAAGTTTTGGGATCTAGACACGGAACATAACTTTAAAACCCTTGTTGGACATAAATCAGAAGTAAGCTTAATTATGTTCTTGTTTGTTATTTACATTCTAGATGATTGTAGTATTAATTCAATATTGATATAGGTGTGGAGTTTCGTCTTAATGAACGACGATCGTTACTTAATAACAGGATGTAATGATATGGAACTACGTGTTTGGAAAATAACATTTCTTGATAACAAGAATATTGAATTAGATACTGCTGTTGGTACAATAGATACCAATGAAGAAAATGAGGAAAGTGTGGATACGGATATGGTATGCAATTTATATTATATTCAGTTTATGGTGCCATTTGTTCTCTTTATGTAATAATTTTTTAAATAATGCATATAATTATAAGTACATTGTATTTTTATAGAAATATCCTATAAAATGTGAAAAAGTTGGAAGCATATTAAGAACTACGAGAGGGCGAGTTGTTTCGTTAGAAGTTGACTCCACATGCAAAGTTCTTGGATGTCACGGAGTGGGAAATTCTATAGAACCGTTTTATCTATTATCTGAAGATACAATAAAAGATAGATTTACAAAAAGACTGAAGAAAGAAAGACGAAAAGCTAAGAAGTGAGTTTTAGCAGAAAAGCAATTTTTAATTTATTCTTTAAAAAATTTAACTATTGTACATATGTTTGAAATATGTTTCTTGTGTTATATACTATATATATAATATATATTAATAGAGAAGGAAATGACGCAGAGAAAGAGCTACCTACTGCACCATCTCTAAAGGATGAGATAAAACGGTTGCCTGTTATTCAAGTATCTGGCAAAGCAAAAGGACTTGATTTAGTTATAGGCAGAGGAAATGAACTGAGAGTTAGTAACAGCATAAGACAAATTTATATAAAATCATTTAAAATTTGCGTTATATTTTATTTTGCCTATTCTGTGTAGGTATGTGTTGGAATCAGTAACAATTCGATTGAATTACATTCTTTGTTTATGGATGAGAAAAATCCGGAAGTAAAGTGTTTGCGTTCAATAACGGCACATGGACATCGTACAGATGTTCGAGCTATTTGTTTTAGCTCCGACAATTTGGCATTTGCTACCGCTAGCAGAGATTCTGTCAAATTATGGAATAGGTAAGGTATCTTATCAAATAAACATTTTAATAAATGAATATATGTTAGAGATTTGTTAACAAATATAATTTTTAGACCAACATTGTCATCTTTACGCACAGTGCAGTGTGGTTATGCAATGACGATAACATTCGTGCCAGGTGACAGGCATTTGATTGTTGGTTTAAAGGATGGAAAAATGCTTATTATTGATATTTCATCTGGTGATATCTTGGAAGAAATATCAGCACATTCCAAAGAACTTTCGAGCGTAACATTATTTCCCGACTTGGTAATAGCTTTTTTTTAATAGCTAAGAAAAGTTACAATCGTTATTAAAATGTAAAGCTCATTAATACGTTTGTACAAATAGAAAGGAGTTGCCAGCGGTGGTGGTGATCAAACGGTGAAATTTTGGAATTTTGAACTTATTCAAGATCCTGACAATCACATAAAAGCGAAAGTTCTTTCTGTCTTGCATGTAAGAACGCTTAAGCTCGAAGAAAGCGTGCTATGTGTAAGAATAAGTCCGAATAATAGATTTGTAGCTGTTTCTCTATTGAACTCTACCATTAAAATCTTCTTCTTGGATACATTTAAGGTATCATAGCTGTTTTGAGAACATCAGTTTATATCTTAAATATTATCTCTTTTATTGTATTTTATATTTTTATTATAGTTCTTTCTGTCGCTTTATGGACACGAGCTACCAGTACTGTGCATGGATATATCCAGTGACTCCACACTCATAGCAACCGGTTCTCAAGATCGTAACATCAAGATCTGGGGTTTGGATTACGGCGATTGTCGCAGATCTATATTCGCGCATGATGACTCTGTCACAGGTCTTTCATTCGTGCCTGGAACTCATTATTTCTTTTCCTCTGGTAAAGATGGCAAAATTAAACAATGGGACGCCGACATATTTCAAAAAATCATCACATTACAGGTAGCATATTTTATTAAATACTTGGCGTATCAGCGGTTTAATTACAGTACTTCCATAATCTATGTAGGGTCATTCTGGAGAAAGTTGGAATTGTTGCGTTTCATCAAACGGGGCTTACGTTGCATCGTGCGGTTCCGATGGAGTAGTTAGATTGTATGAGAAGACTCGTGAACCTTTAGTATTACAAGACGTAGCAGAAGAAGAAAGAGAACAACAGGAAAATGAATTAATTACTGGGGAAAGTACTGCAGTATTAGGACAGAAACAACAAGCATTGCCTTCTAAAAAGACTGTTAGCAGTGAGAAGGCTGTAAGTTGAATTATTTAAAAAAATATATAATTTACAACATAGAAAGTGTTAAAATATTTTTTTATGACATGCTTTTTTCACCAGGCTGAACTGATATTGGAATGCTTGGAAATATCCAATCAATATGAGACAGAATTGAGTAAGGTCGTTCCTAATGACAAAGCACCACCTCTTCCTCTGCTGATGCAGGCTTACAATTGCACGAACACGGAAGACTTCTTATTGGAAATTTTTAAACGAATTAGGGCAAGGTAAAATGCAATGGAGTAATAATGAGCATCAGAACAACAAAACTTCAAATAAAAGTGGAAAATATAACTGAGATCTTATGTTTTAGTGAATTGGAAGAGACATTATTATTATTGCCATTTTCTGTTGCCTGTGATATTCTTCAGAGACTCCCTAACTTATTAAAAAATAATTATCATACCGAGTTATTAGCCAGATTAGCTCTTTGCTTAGTTCAAGCACATCATGGTCCGATAGTGGCCAATCAAAATCTTTTGCCTACTTTGGAGATTGTGAAGAAACTCGCTGTAGAAAAAATCTCTGTTTTAAGGGTAATGAAAGTTTATTTACTGACTGCGTGTATTATTTATAAGACTATTCTTTATCTGATAGATTAACGAACAATGATTTTCAGGATACTATCGGCCTTAATTTGCATAGTATGATGTATTTGCAACGCATTTTTGAGGAACGGGAAGGAATTAAATTCTTTAGAGACGCCACTAAGAATGTTGAACACAAGAAGAAAATCAGAAGAAACAAGGAGAAGGCTATAAAAAGAGCAATCATGAACTTGTAGATCTAAATGATATAAAGAGCTTTGTACACACACATATATATACATATATGTATATCTAGCGCAGATTTTCTTCATATATCTAGTAGATATATTATACAAAGTAATAAATAATATATGTTTTTTAATTAAATAAAAATAAATTTATTAAAAAACTTGATAGTTAACTGTTTACTAATAATTAAAAATTATTATTGTATCAAATTGTCAGACTTTTACTACTAATAAATCAATCAAGCTTTGATTAATTAATTAATCAAATGCCTAAAATTACTTAAGTTTGTTGTTCATTAAATATTAACTTTATAGATCAAAATCTTTTTAGAATTCATTATAATTTAATTGGTACAATAATAGACATACGATTGCTCAAAATAAAATTAATATGACAGACTATAGAAGAAGTAAAGATTTTATGATCAGCTCCTAGATTGAGAATCAGTGATTCTCAACTCTAAGTCAAATGACCAACACTAAAGTTGATCATTTTCGTCATTTCACTAGTGTTCCTATTTCCTTTTTTAATTTAAAATTTAAAAAATCTGTATTATCAACATCGATCAAGGCTGTTTGGTAGTCACTCCAGCATCCCCTTGAGCTATCTCCCTTAAAAAGCGGTAGCTTAAAATTTTAGCTAAAAGAGCGACGTATGATTATTATTTTATATACGTTACTACGCGCGCAAAGAAACTTGGCGTTCGCAATACTTGTAAGCGTCATTTTATCCCAGGTATAAATGGAAAACACCCATGCACAACGTCACAACATAACCTCATCAGTATGACAGCATTGACAGTCGTATGGTCCATTGTTTATCCGCATATGCTGCAAAGAAAAATAGAGGATGGATCATGAGGACGAGTTCCTTAACGCCTTCTTCACACAGGTCGCTCAATTATGCTCTGACAAAGCTAAGGAAACAGTTGTAAGTGAAACCAAATCCTGTTATATGTGTATTAGTGTGAGTACTTATAAATGCAATTGTACATTTTTGTCTGAAAAAAACATAAATTTAATTCAGGAGAAAGAAAGAGAATCTTGTAAGCAGATGCAAATGGGTCCATGGGGAATGCTCTTGATGCATTTACCACAGATAGCTGTTGCGGAGCGTTCATATGCAGATTTAGGTTTCCTCAATACTAAAAATAAAGGTTTTCTTAGGAAAGATGTACGTATTTAACAACAAAAAAAATGCTTGTCAATGATTATTTCAGTCAATGATTATTTATTTAATTTACTATTATTTACAGAATTCTTTAAAGACTGTCTATGAATCACTGAAGTCTGATTTGAAAAGATTAGAGGAAATGACCAAGGGAACAAATTCCATCGGTACGGCAGTCGCAAATGTTTCCAGTCAACTCTGTCAATTCATCACAGCAAGAATCCAGCTGATAGATTTGTTAGTATATTAGTATTTCAGCCTTATGTTTCTACTGTCATATTTGTGATTATTGCATTATAGCTATGAAAGAATGTACAATATGAGTGTAAATAGCAAAGTTATGAAGCATCAAGAATTGCTGCAGTGTATAGAAGGAATAGTAAAATGCTATTTGTTATCCTGTTCTCATTTGGCATTAACTGCTATCAAGACAAGTTTAACGTATGTATCCTCTTATAATATTAGTAATATGTAATTTTAGTAATATGAATTATAAATTTTAATGTATGTAAGAAGCTAATCCTCATTGTTCAGATTAGAATGTGAAATACTAGTACAATTAATGAAAGCACAAGTGGAAGTTCAAAATTGGAGATTTTTGCCAACTCTGATGGCACTATACGGAGCGCAAACGCGAATGTCAGCTTGGGAAAGAACTCTGCAGAGCAAGGAGGTTAGCAATATATAAATAAAAAAAGCATAAAAGTTTTAATTCAAGATTTTAAATCTAATTCTCATCAAGTATTCTAATTCAAGATTTTTTTTAGTCCTGGAAATTGGGTTTTGGTGCAACATTTCTCAAAGCAAATCAACAACCAGCGTTGTATCAATGGCTGATGAAGCTCCGCAATGCTATATTAGCCAAGTGTTCTCTGTATTTCCACACTACTTTAAGCCAACAAGCTAGTCCAGGGGAAATGAGGAGTATTATGAGCAAACAGAGTATAGATTACTATCATAAGTAAGATACAGATATTGTTTTGTTACTTGCACAGAATATGCACTGATAGATACTTTTTTAGGATACAGAGTTTTCAGCGAAAGTACGATATACTAGCGGTACTGATAATCTTCGACTCCAGAGAAACTGAAAATTCAGGTTCTGGATACAGGCATCCAGCAAGAGGAGCAAACTCTTTCGAGAATTTTCCCGTTGTTGTTTGTTGTCCTAGTGTAAGTATAAATGAATTTTTTAAATAGTTTTTATTAATATAAGTATGTATTAGTATCTATACAAATAAATAATACAAAGTGTACATAACATCCTATGCTTTTTTTATAAAATTAATGTTTTTCAGACATTCACGCAGAAACCATCGGTACACTTGGACAATATCCAAACCAAGATAAAAGAACGGCATGCCGAACTTCTTACTATGGACAAAGTGATTTGTCATAAAAGCATGAAGGTGCGCTCATTAAAAATAATTTTAAACATTACAAATAAAAATAGAAATTAAAAAATAGGAATAATCCAAATAAATTATAAACAATTGAAATAATTTGAAGGATTACTCCATCTAAATTAATATTCCTACAGGATTCGTGTACATACTCTTTCCACAACACCGATCTCACAATGACTCTCGTGATTGTATTTGAAAACGGGAAACAAAAGGATAAAGAAACCCACATCACATCGTTTATGATGGACCTCTCTATGCAAATTAGATGCAATAAGGTTTATGAGTGTCTGAAATTATCAAAATGAGTATTTGCGCGATGAAGAAATAAATATCAAGTTATGCCAAAGATCTAACTATGATATAGTAAAAAATTCATTAATATAAATTTATCGATATCACGATGTGCAAAATAATAAAAAGAAAGTTTATTATTTGTATGTATGCAACTCATAACCTTATATATGTCTCCAAATAGTAAGAATATTGTTACTTGCACAAGAAGAATTGAAATAAGAATATTGCAACTATTAATTTTCTTAATTAATTATTGACTATTTGATATTATTTTACTTTGTGATACATGGGGTGATTTAGTTTTTATATATTTGATCTCATTAATTATATATTATAGACTGAGAACAGAATTGTTTTCTATATTTTTATTATCTATCATGTTAATAGCAATGTTTCTTAAAAGCTTATTAAAAGCTTCTATTAATTACAAGTTTTTAATTATTATCAAGGTCCCTGTGGTTGATGCTACGCTATAATTATAAAAAATAATTTGAAATATCGTTTGAGCGTTACAATATTTAATTCCTGTAAATGAAATGTTGAACAGAATATTCATATTCTTTCATTTCTTAAAAGCTTATTAAAAGCTTTTATTAATTACAAGTTTTTAATTATTATCGAGGTCCCTGTGGTTGATGCTACGCTACAATTATAAAAAATAATTTGAAATATCGTTTGAGCGTTACAATATTTAATTCCTGTAAATGAAATGTTGAACAAAATATTCATATTCTTTCATTTCTTAAAAGCTTATTAAAAGCTTTTATTAATTACAAGTTTTTAATTATTATCGAGGTCCCTGTGGTTGATGCTACGCTACAATTATAAAAAATAACTTGAAATATCGTTTGAGCGTTACAATATTTAATTCCTGTAAATGAAATGTTGAACAAAATATTCATATTGCGATATCTTGAAAATGACGAAAAATATATTCGCAAATTAATTAGTGTCAGGCATTTCTCGGTAGATGGTGCCAACCTACCGAACGCGATCAAGCGCTGGATCAGCTGAGATCAGCTGATTGAGCTGATATTTTATGTTGTGATTGAGATTTTTTACGTGGCTGTATGTAATTTATTAGGTGTTATTTCGTCGCAATTTGCATCGATTCGTGATTGGTCGTGTACGTGAAACTGTGCGCGTCTTTTACGTTTTCGAGTGCAGTGATAAGAGTGGACGAGACGCGACAGTCTTGCAGATTTGCGAGCGTCTTGTACATCTTTCATCTTCTGGACGCAACGAAGATCAATAGAGTATTGAATCGACTTTCCAACATCTGAAATATCAGTGAGATATTGTCGGCGAGGAACAAAAATGTAAGTATTGTTGTCTTTTATCTCGTCTTCGCGGTTTTCTGTCGGGCTCGTATGTTAACCTTTTCGGAGTTGACGCCAAACAAGTTGAGAAGACTTTCAAAATGTGTGCGTTTTGTCCAAAATTTGTAATTTTCAGAAAATGAAAAAGAAAGAAACTCCGCACACAAGAAAATTACGCACTTTACAGAAAATAACAATATGCCAATCAGTAGGATGTGAAATATTAAACAAAATTACTAAAAATGTTAAACAAATGCATTTTGTTTGTCTCTAGTTAAAAAACATAATGCACTTGAAATGTCTGTTTTTTCAGCATATAAATTAACGATGAGAAAATGTTTTCTGAACATCTCAGAGTAGCTTATAATATGAGTTTTTCACTGAACGCTATCTAGGCATTTCTAACTAATAGCGTTTTCCACTGGGAAAACTGCAACACTGGTGCGCGCTGAGTGCAATTTTGTTGTTCCACTGTGAAAACCAGTTCAGTGTTTAATGTTCCACTGACAAAACTGATGCAAAAAACTTGCACTGAGTTCAACTTTTGCTCCACTGTCTTTGAAATCAGTGGAGACCAGTGCAAGTTGAAATTGAGGTTATGTATTTGCGCTTTCAAATACGATCATACGTTAAGGCATGATATTAAATTATTTTAATTAATAACAAAATTATTTTTAGTTTTTGCATATCCAGTAAAATATTATTGTTATAAAAAATTATAAAAAAATTAATAAATAATCGAGGATGTTCAGGAGGATCAGGAGACACGGTAGTATCTCGGCGCTAAGCCAAGCGAGACACTGCTGTGCCTCCTTTACGCGAGCCGGCGAGTTGGGGGTGATTGAGATTTTGTAATAACCCGGGTAAAAAAGAAAACTTCTTCATTTAATTGAAATTGTAATTTGCTTTCTGGATCTATTCTTTATTAAGTAAATTTTATCCTTTTTTAAGGTTATGCTCGAAGTGACAACAAAAATCGATGCAATCATGTGTTCCTCTGAGTCTGCACTATTACTGCACTAATGCAGTTTTCATATAAACCTAGCACGGCGCTAGTGCTGCACCAGTTTTCCCAGTGGAAAACGCTATAAAAAAAAAAACAAAGAAATTTTGGACAAAATGCATTTTGGAATTCTGCTTTTCAATTATTGACGCTGGGTCTATAAGGCCTATTTAATTTATGTTAATTAAAATTTAAAAGGCACCAATTAATTCCAAGAAATCCAAACGACAAAATTTGTATTAAAAAATGAATGCTAAAGCTGCGTTCCAAAATTCATTGCTAGCATTGAAAATCTATAGTTTAATGTTATTTGCACTACAGATTTTCTGCACTGAATTGTGGAACAGTCTGAATTTTTTAATAAAAAATTTAGAAATGTATAACATAAAAGAAATTTTGAATTGTTTGACATTTTTTTGGTAAGAAGATTTATAATTGAGCGAGTCCACAATAAACCCATCGTCAACTCCGGACAGTTCAAGCACAATTGTAGACATAAACACAGACATTTCGTTGTGTCTTAAGGATTTGACATGACAGAAGAGTTTCTTGCAAATCCTGCAACGTAATCTTCCATTTCTTTAATGAAGTGAATGACAGTCTTCTTGTCTTTCTATTAGCTATTTATAATGATCAATATCAAATATGAATTGCTATACTAAGAAAAAAAATTCATTTGATTATATTAATTTAGTTTACCTTCATTTCTTTCAATACAGAAAGAAATGAATGTATATTGTATACAATGTATGTAAGTCGAACATATATTTTGACTTAAATACACATATTTTAATATAACTTAAATATATATTTTCCAACGAAAAGAAACCAACTAAAAACCAATTAAAAACAACTAAATTAATTTAATCAAATAAACAATCAATGCGTTGAAAAATGAGTACTTATTCTTTTCTAAATTTTTTCTTAAAGAATGAGATTAAGATTCACATATCTGCTTGATAGATAAGATAGAATGGTGAAAGCTAAAATTCAACTTTATTAACTTTGAAGATAAAATTAAATTCTTTATTTATAATCATTAATTTAAAAAATCTTTGTAAAGACTACTTGCAATTAGTCCCATAATAACAAATTTTCTGTATTTGCAGAAGAGTACTAGCTTATACAAATTTTATCTTGAGAAAAATGTGAACAATTTCTCAAGCATTGAAATGTCTATTTATACCAAGAAAGTATTTTCTAGTAATGTTATACGCTGAGCTCTACCGATACGACAAAACGTTCGCCTCATTTATAACATTACTGCACTACACATAAAAACACTCGATTCCGTAATGAGCGTATCAAGCAATAGCGATATCATGTATATTCTCATCCTTTCTATGCAACATCCTGTCATAATAAGTAACGAGAGATACAGATACCTTTTCTTTATCGTTTCAATTATTCGAAACGTTTTAAGCGGAAAGAGAAATATGATTCTTTGCTTTCCCCTATCAATTTTTTATTTCTGATAGAATAAAGATTAATATAATAATAAAGATAAATTAAAATAATCTTAAATCAATTATTTATAATGTCTTTTTAATAAACTTTTGACGTGATTTATAAATTTAGCAATGAAAAAACTAATAAATTTATGAAGAGACAATAATTAATTTTTGCTAACATAAATTAAGTATAATGTTGGAAGAAAGAGAGAGAGAGAGAGAGAGATATGTATTCTCTCACATCTGCAGAGAAATTTGATTACTTGCTGTTAACAGTTCGGAATTATTTTATATTTCAAAATAAAAATAGCTATCTGTACATAATTGCAAAAAATATTAAAGTTTAAAATTATTAAAGGGTTGCCTAAAATTAATAGAATTTAGCTGCGTCTTTCTCTCTTGCTTATTTTAGGGGAACTACGTTGCGAAACGCGAGTACAATGTCTTACGTGTTTCCATGGTAGACGTCTCAACTTCCACACTTAGGCAAATTTACTTTTCGTATCATTTAACATAAAAGCTCGCGGTCAATTAATTATGACACACAGGTCACGTAATGCGGCGCGTTAACAAAGGTTGCGGCAGCTTATATCTCCTGATTATATATTCATGAAAATTATATATTCTTTTGTTATCCGAAAGAATGGTAATCATTCATCTTTTTTTTTTTACGTTTACCACCGCAAAGCACTTGTCGCACGCAGCATGTTACCGCGGCGTTTTATAGCGCAGTGCAGTGCAACTATCTGAACCTAGATTAGTGATAACGCTTGACATAATTCACGCTGTATACTTCTCGTAAAACGAATCGCTGCTCTTCTGAGCCACATGTGTGGATTTGTGACCAAAGTTTGTGGAAGTCGCCGCGCGAGTACATATGACTTAGGCCCAGTTCCACAACTCACGGTTAACTCTTAACCGAGGTTTCTCATCTCTTTCCAATTCTAGAATTGGAAAGAGACAATGAATAAGTTGAATTAAGAGTTAAGGCCTTAGACGTATTTTGCATAATGCGATTTTCACGCTCCATAACTATTCTTTTAATTTTTTTCCATCTCTCTTTCTGTTATTACTGAAATATTTTGATTAGTCCGGCTCTCAATTTTAAGTTGCTAATTGTAGATTAATCGAACTAAAAATTCGTTTCCGCACTCCTGCTTTGTTGAAAAGGTTTTATTAACTCGTTTGAAGCCAGAACTAACTTGGAGAAGAAAGAAAGTAATTCCTTTTTCAATTGTTACGTCCCATCCGAATTTTTAATTTCACTCCATTTTATCTTTTTCAATCCTGCTCATCTTCATTTTACTGGGCGTATAACTTACGGCCGCGGCCGTATCTGCTAAAAATACAACTTCCTTGACATGGGTGTGGCGTTATCTCGCCGATTCTCACGTGCGTAAACCGGGCGCTCTGCTGTAATAATGCCACGTGCTAGCCGTGCACCGAAATTAGAACCGTTTGACTATCTAAGCGGAGCTTTCTTCGTTATAAATGTAGATGAACGCGGTGTATCTCTTGAAGAAATGTACGAGCTATAAGAAGCACGCGTTCTTTGAGGAATTAAAAGTTACTTTTTCTTTTTTAGCCGAAGAATATGAATTATTATTGAAATTGGAAAATCCTTACCGAGTGATCTGAAGCAGAGTTTTTTTTTAAGTAAGCGACAATTAATTACAATTATACCGTTCTCTTAAAATGTTTCAAAAACGAGAAGGAAATGATCTCAGAAATAATTGAATGATTTAATCTAAAACACTTTTATATTGTTCTCTTAAAAAATTCACTATTAGGATTTATATTTTCTTGATTTATGAACAATTATTGCAATATTTCCGCACAAAGAATCGGATAGGATTGATCAAATTTCCATCTGTTCAATCTCTCTGTGTATACTGCACTGAGAAAAGAAATTTCAACTAACTGAACACATTTAGTTTGGTTAATTCAACAAATTTTATTTAATTGAATTTAAGTTAGTCTGCTTAATAAGCTGTTCAATGTTAAACAGACTACGGTTAAATTCGATTAAATAAAATTTGTTGAATTAACCAAATCTGCAAACAACTAAATGTGTTCAGTTAGTTGAACAAATTTTTTTTCTCAGTGTGTCGTGACTAGGTCTGTAACTGTGTCGCATTGCATACGAACGATGGCAGTAGCAACTCGAATCTATTGTGCGCCTCTCCCGTATCTGTCTGTATTTAATAAGCGAATGTGGGACATTTGGCGTTCGTTATTGGCCAACACAACCGGCGTGTGCCTCCGTACGCGACTGTTCAGGAAAACCTGGCGAAAGGAAAACGGCATCTCTCTGTCGCATCGGCGACGTCCCGCCTCCATTGGATCACATCGACACGTCTTTCACGTCATCACGTAGCTTTCCTGACCCGAGACGCCTAGACGCATTGCATTGGTGCCTTTGCCAGGGAAACGCCGCAATACCATCTTACCGCGGCTACGTTGTGACAGGCTCTTCATCTTGTTCTGCCTCACCCGGCAACATTTCTTTTTGATGATCGTCTGCAGTCTTTCGAGTACAGTACACTTTCGCTGGATATTCATAACGATGCCTTTATCTTTGCTTTTTAAAAGATTTGTTATTTTCAATTATATATTATATTTATACACAGACTGCCACACACATAGATATTTTTTTTATTACAAATTCTTAGGCAGATTGATTTTTTTTTAACCAGAAAATAAAGACTGTCTAGAGATCCTACAAGAGTCTGCCTATGAGCGATTTTATCAAAACGAGAAAGAAAGATATATTTATTTCTATGTAGTTCTTTCTTGCGCTAGAAGGAACGGTTTTGCTGAAGTATTTAAAAATTTAATTAGATACAGATCTGAAAATAATTCACTTGGATCAAAATAATTATATATTACGCTATAGTTGTTAGAATGTCAAATTTTTGCAACATGGTTCGGCATGCTTAAAATTCTTGCGTAATTATTTTGGAGGTTCAATAAAATTATTTTTAGATCTGTATCTAGTTAAATTTTTAGATACTTGAGCCAAAATCGTTCTTTCCATGTGCATATATATCTACTATCTTATACTTTAACTTGTACTTTCTGTCATACTCTATAATTTTATAATTAGGTAATTTTTTTTCTTAATTAATAGATTACAGAGCGAGACTGTATAAATAAGACAGGGATAGTTCCTAGTATATAAAGTATATGCATATCTACTTTTTTCTTACAGGATTTTGACAAAATCGCTTGTACCAAGACTGTTACATCTCTAGCTTTGTCTACAGCATGTATTATTAATTTATTAATGTACCGATACGAATTGAACTGTCTAATATAGAGTACAATTTTTTGACATTTCGTGACATTTGTATAAATTTGTCTTATCGCGTGATATATAAATTAAAAAAAATTCTATTAGACAAACAAATCGAATTATCGAATAAAAATTTTTCCGTATAACATAAATCATCGATACTTGACGCGTAGCAATTCCTGGCGATCACGCCTCGATTGTAGACTCCGTTAAATCGAATAGCGTCTTTATACGTCTGTCTGCGCTCGCGTGCGCGTCTTCTCCGAGCATATTTGCGTAGGTACAAATAATAGTATCGCTGCTGCGCATCTTACGTCAGCTGCACATGGCGCGAGATACACGCTCTAGGGATGAGATATTTCGAGTACGCGTAATCGGAACAGCAGGGAACGGAGATTTAATCGCGCGCCAACGTATACACAAGTTTGTCCCGGGCGAGCTTAAAGTTAATTAATAACGAACGAACTCGTTTTCAAGATTTAAGATTCTGTTTACAGAAACTGTTTACAGAAACCGTTGCTTATGAAACAAACAAACTATGTTTCTACGTTGCTATTGTTTTTTCGTTGCTATGTTTCTACGTTGCTATTTCTTCAGTTTGTCGATTGCACGTCTCAAATATTTAAGAATAAGGGCTGGAGCATAGAGTCTTGCAAAACTCATAATGCATAAGGTATAAGAAAATGAATCAATCAGAATCCTTCATTTCCTTCCTTTCCATGAAATAAAAGATTCTGATTGGTTAATTTTCTTATTCTTTATGTATTATGTGTTATGCAATGCTATGTTCCAGCCTTAAATCTTTAGGGCTATAGTCCAAAAGATAAGCATAGCATAAAATCGTCTGAGTTAATGAACATCCAACAAAAAGTTACCATTTTGATTTATATAACATGTTCATTGGTTCATCTTATGCTACAGTATGTTATGCATTTTACGTGTTATAGTCGTTATTAATATATTACACAACAAAGAATATCCTCTTAAGAATCTTTGAATGCGGAAAGCGAACCATTTTCGAATCAAGAGGTGCATTATCATGCTAGAGGAAGTCTATAGTCGTAGCGTCTAAGAGGCCATCGGCTTCACACATGAAGTAAAACCGCGAGTGCTACTGCCACTGTGGATTCTATTTGTGTCAAACAATATAAAGTAGAGACGTATGTGTCCTCATGCAGCCTCACTGCGGTTACATAAGTGCCAACGAGGGGGAAATGTACAGAAACGTGAGCGCATCGCCGTCGCTGCCTTAATGAAATTGAATTTGCATTCTGCTATGTGTCAGATTATACGTTTTGAATTCAATATAGAATGCCGTATCTCTCAAATCGCACATCTTTCAATTTTTGATGCAAGAAATCCATCATGATTTAATTATTAGCTTGTTCCAGTCTTTGGTGATCTTTGAAATGTGATATTATTAATATCACACTTTAAGTTATAAATTCTATTAATTAATTTATCCTTAATATAGTTATAAAGTAACTTCATTGATTTATTATTAATAGAGTTACACAAAATAACTCAATTTACTATAATGCTTATGGAATGGACTTAGTTTTAACAATCTGGAATCTTTCGTAAGAATTTACAGAATAAATATGCGAATTTTGAAAAAGTGGTCCAATTTTCAATCTTTAAGAGTGAGATTTTCACTTTTCAAAGTGAGATTCACTCTAAAAATTTTAGAAAGTAGCTTCGCTGTTGGTATTCTCGATTGTCCTTTTATGGTATAAAAATTATAAGATTTTTTTATAATTTTAAATTTTATATTTCAGTTTTGATATATTAGTTTTTTAAATAAATAAATTATTATTAATAATTACGATAGAGAGATACATCAATCTACTCCGTTCGAAACGGTGTCATTGACCGTTAAAAATTTGATTCTGCTATAATTATAACGAGATCGATTCGACGCGCCGTGATAGAAAATCGGAGCAATATATCTCAGCGATGTATAAATATCTTTCCGAATCCCGAAAAATCTCGCAAATAATTAACAAGCTGATTCTCGAGAGCAGGGACGAGGGTTTAATGGACGTGGCTCAACTAGACAAGTAGTGACGTTTTGACGCGTGCCTCGGCAAGATAAATCGCTAATGGATCCAGAAACCCGAGACATCTGCGATAATATAGCGAAGATGTAAAGGATCTTCCACCCGTAAACGTAGGAATATGCTTAGTGCTTTTTTCGGTATCGTCTTTCTGACGAACAATTCCGTCCCGCGTTTACCTTCTCGCGAAAGTGAAGGAGCAATCATTTTTTTTTCAGCATTTATAAGACGGATTGTCTTATGATCGCTGTATAAGTCTAAATCCACAACCCTGAAGCCGTAAAGCCGTAAGAAATTGATCAATCACAGTCGATTATTTTTCTCATATTTGACTGTGATTGGTCGATTTCTCACGGCTTTACGGCTCACGACCTCTTAAAGCAAGATTGTGGACCTAGACTAAGGAGAAAGAATAACTTCCGAACGAATGTGCAAATAACTTCGGTGAGCAACGATAAAATTTTCGAGGTACTCCCTCGCAATATACTCCTGAGGAAATTGAATTTCGTTCTTATTAGCCAGGTCCATGTAAGTCGGAAACGGTAACTGCTGATTGTCCGTAACTTATTCCAAAGGTGCAGTTTTTCCCCTCCTTTGTAATAATCTCCTACGACACGAACATACATTTTCATTTTTATAGAATTAATTGAAATTCATTAATTCTGTGCGACTGTTATATCCTATTATTACCTTTAATATAAATTACATCCGTTTTGTTTAAATTAATAGTATTACGAAGAAAACGTAGCTTTTTTAGCGCACATATATTCGTAGCTATATTCATTTGTTCCGGCTGTCATAATTTTGGCTTTCTTCCAAATCTTGTCATTGAGCGAAGAATTATTAGATTCTCTGTTAGCTTTCTTCTCAGATTTTATCCGTCGAACAGTGGAGAACACCTAAATGCTTACAATCATAAAAATGTACCAGGTGATACATTGATTAATTTAATTATTTCACTTGTGCTATTTTCTGCGTCGGTTAAATTGAATCAAGACGTAATAAACAAAATGCACATATTCCTTTATTATTTACATTTTATTTTATTATTCACATTTATACAAAGTAAAATGCTCGCATTAAATTCCCATGATATTGAATCGCTATAGAAAATATTAATATACAATATTTCCAATGTTGCTTTTAACTGAATGTGACAAGGGAATTGTTTAAATTACAAATTACAGGTAGCGCTCACGCGTTGCGTTTATTTAACAAATTATTCATATGTATGTTGTTGCTACAAATTGATAGCCAGTCAAAATCTGTGATGTATGACAGCACACACAGAAAAATATCATTCTATTGTTAAAAAAAAATTGACTTATTTTATTTAAAATTAAAATTTACTTATTTACAAATTTATAATATTTACAAATTTTAAAAAAGTTGATTATCATGTACTCAAAACATGAATTTATTTTCTTTTGAAGAATATTATAAAATTTTAAAGAATTGACTTTATATAATAAAAATCGAATTTATTTCAATTTGTATATAATCTTGATTGAAATATTAAACTTTAAATATTTATTGAATACATTGAAAAAAATTGAATTCAGAATATATTTTGATATAAATTGATGAAACTTATGATAGATTTGCGGATATATAACTTTTGAAATACTTATAATAAATAATTAATATTTGAATATATAATAGTATGTATGTTTTTTTCTTTGCAGAAATAAATTCCGTATACGTGATATTAAACATGACTCATATAATTAATGATCACTTTGTTTCTTCTTGAGCGTGAAGCGTAAATAAAGAAATCCATTACATTATTTATTATTTAGGCTATACCGAGCCGTATGTATTGTTGATGATGAAAATAAACGTGTGGTAGATCCAGAATTCCACCATTTTGCTGCCGATCGAAATTGCGATCACGCGAGGCGCGAAATCACTTAAACAGACGAGAAGCGATTAACGGACGCGCTTTTCGTCACTCATTCGGAAACTTAGGCCAAGATTTAAACATTAGTATCGTGACAGTTTAATATCTACGCCTTGGCACGAGACGCGCAAAGCGCGCTAGCTACTAGATCTTCAGTGATGTTGAAACCCAGGCTTATGACATGCTCGGATAAGCCGGTCGTATATTATAACGGCATTTAATACCGTCCATTGTTCTTTTCCCCTTGTCTTTATTATAATAATAAATCCGGTATATCCACGCGCGAAGGGAGCGCGGAGCGCCACGTGTTCGAACCAGTGTCGTTTCTTAATCATGGCAGGATCAAGCGGATAGAAACTAAGGCTGATACAAATGATCCGACGTGGAAGCTTACGATAGCTGTAAGACTGAATTTATTACATAAAATGTTTAAAAAATTTTAACGCGCAAGGATTATGGATCTCTATTGTGTATGTTTGTTATCAATAGCAACCCCACGCAATTAAAGCTTCGTAACCGGAACACCTGTCGAACATTCACGTTCTCGGTATTCTATCATTGACAAGTTATAGCACTCGTATAGCTGTAATAGATTGATGGGACGAGGCACGCCGTAAAAATAGGAAATAAAACTTACTATACGATCGCAGGCGGCGAGAAATAATTATATCATTGAGTACGTGCCAGCCAATGCTATGAATGTCATTTATTACACTTTAGCTTATTAAATATTATTAATAAACGGAAAGAACGGTTTTGCTAAAATGTAGGTAGACACAGATCTGAAAATAATTTTGTTTAGACCATTCGGATAATTAAGTAGGACGCAGTTTAAATTGTCATCAACATTTAAGCGTTCTACATAACTATTTTTCTACATAATTTTTACTCCCAAATGCTGCCAATCGAAGATTGGCGAAAAACGGAGGAATTATGAATTTTTCTACATAATTATAACTTGAAAATTTAGCTAAATACAGATCTGTGAAAATAATTTTGTTGAATGATTAAAATAATTATGTAGAACGCTCTTAAATGTTAATGAATTTAAGTTGCTGCTTAATTATTTTAATGGTCCAAACAAAATTATTTTCGGATCTGTATCTATCTAAATTTTTAAATATTTTAACAAAACCGTTTTTTTTCCTGTGTATTTTAACATACGAAATGTTCGCGAATGAATATTGTCTTACAAGGTAACTGGAATAACAATTTTCTGCATATACATAATAAAGAAAAAGCGAGAGCGATTATATAATAAATAATAATGAATCAACAATTTAATACAAGGGGCTACGAGCCATAGCAGTTATTTTAATAACAAAAATTCATACTTAAAACCAATAATTAAAAACAGACGTTTCGATCTATGAAGTCATTATCACATGGAGCGATAATGTTCCACGTTTCTTTCGCGATAGACCTCGTTCGAATGACAAATCTCCGAGAGTTCGCCATTATAAATCATCATATATTCCCTCAAGAAATTTCGACGAATTTCGGTGTATGCCGTTCAATAGCGGCGCGGTCCAACAATGCGGATTACAGATTCACTATTGAACCCGATTTACCATTGAATCTCAGAAAACTCAGGCTAATTCGAAGCGTGTAGCTCGTACGAGACAGATGCGCCAGAACATCTTTACAAAAGCGCAAAGCATATAATAATATAAGCACGTACGAGAAATACGACGTCTTGGGGAATACCCGCGGAGACGGTGCGGAAGGTGGACGGAAGAGGACCAGCGCGAGGAAGAGGGAACGAAGAGAGGAGTCGCGCAGGCGCTGATCCAACGCGTGGAGAACGCTCATCGTCCGCGTGGCGCGAGTTAGAACTTGACTTGGTGCTTTTAGTCTTGTTCCATCCCTTCGTCCATCCTCGTCCTTGCCGGGCGAGAGCAGCCCTCGAGGCGGAGTATCGTCAGAAAGGAAGTATGCATTCGGTGTTCGGATCGGTTGCGGCAAGAAGGACGCGGAGCCGACGAGGATTCCGCCCGATCCGCCGACTGAACCGGCAAACCATTCACCAGCGATGAAGAGGAACACGCGTCGTCCCCACGTGCCTTCCACGGGCTCGCAGCAGCGGTGAAGTGAAAGTTCACTGACGAAGTCTCCAATAAAAGCCTTCAACGAAATTCTTTGATTAGAAGATTATCTTTCCGGTGAACATCCACCCATATGATTGCATGCAGTCGAAAATCGACATTTAAATCAGGGAGAAATAATAAGAAATAATCTTTCCTCTGAAATATAAAATTTTATAATCTGAAAAGAAAATCTGGAAACTGTACATGTTATCGAGTACCGATCGATGTGCCTGATTGCGATATGTCGCAGGAGATTTTTTCCCGTAGGGAGACACTCTCGATCGAGACGAATGACCCTCTCAATTCAAAGAGGAGTACTCGCGCTCTACGTCGATGGCGCATCTTAGCCAGAGCGCTGACAGGCTCGCCAGAACCGATCGGCAGCGAGTCCGACGAGGAGGTGTCGGTGAGACGATTCACCAGTTTTGGTTTGCTGAAATGCGCGCTGCTGGAAAACATGCTGGCGGACGGCGAGTTCAGTTGGTGCGAGTATTCCACTCAGCTGGACGGTCGGTCATACAACGTGCAGATACGTCGGATAAGCAAGTGCTTCACAGCGAGCGAGCTGATCGGCTTCAACAATACTGGCAACGTGTGCGTGTGGCCGTCCGAGGAGTGTCTGGCCTACTATCTGCTGAGGAATCACGGCCTCTGCCGGAATCGGAACGTCCTTGAACTTGGTGGTGGCATGAGTTGTCTGGCCGGTGTACTCGCCGCCAAATACTGCAATCCCAGCACCGTCACCCTCACGGACGGTAACGTGACTAGCGTCGACAACGTGCGCTGCATCGTCGCCAGGAACGACATGACGCATCTGGTAGAATGCGGAGTCGTTCAATGGGCTCAAGCCGCCAGGGCCCTTCGACAGACGATGATCAACGGTAACCGCGTTAAGGTGAATGTCCAAATTTGATCTTGAAAGAGCAATTGATAGTCCGATGTTATTCTCAAAGTTATAACGATTAAAATAGCGCATTGAAACTATTGTATTGTGAGAGAAATGTTTTGTATATGTGACTCTTACAAAAACTTTCTTACTTTTTAAGTTAAAAATTTTGTTGTTCTAATCAAGATTTGGTTAGGCTAATTAATAATTTTAAATTATAAAGTAAATTTTTATATGTCACGTATCATACAAAACATTTCTCTCAGTGTGGAGTCGGCAATCAGGCGAGAATTAATAGAAATAACATTAAGAGGATTCTTCAATCGTTGAAGAGATACTCGATAAATCACAGGAATCGCATCTTGAATTGCTTTAATTTCCGCAGAGAGCTTCCAGATTTTTTTTATAAAAATTCATTTTAAATTAGATCGCAGAAGCATTACACTATTTCTTTGAAGTTGTATATCATAAATACATTTATTCACCATTTTTATTTCTTCAGTACTCTCTAAATCTGAATTAGTGGATAATCACTGATATCAGTGCCAAGTATGCCACTGGTAATCAGTGAATGAAATGTGAGATTTCTAACCTAGCTAATCTTTATTATGTGATCTAACTAACCTTGTTTTAATGCATAAATTTCATGAATATAGTATTGGAAGATTGAAATTAACGTGCAAATATCAGTATTTTAACTATACATATAATATTCAAACATTCTTTTTGAATTAAACTTCACTGATTATCCAGTGCCAAGTATGCCACTGGGTAATCAGTGACTATCCACTGATTCAGATTTAGAGAATATGAAACGTATTTCCATTGCTTTTTAATAGACTGTATTCGATGTGATTTCTATGAACAAAGAATTGTGGGCGCATAGTAAAAAATATAAAAAAGCACGTCCTCAAAGCGATATTGAAACGGGGATGCTTCTACAATGGTACGCAGCTACAAAAAGGCCGGAAATTAAATATTGAAAATGTTAATGAGAAAGGCATTTTTTAGCTTTTATCATCACGACACATACGTTAACGTTTACATTAAATAAAGATCTATTCGTACATTGGCTACTTAGAAAAATTAAATTACCATAAATTAAATTATAAATAAAATTAAATTACCATAAATTCGTACAATAATAAGAAATACGTTGGAATTTTTCCAATGAAACACCTACTTGTTTTCGAGCTCTTAAATTCCCAGCGGTATGTACAGGTCTTACAATTAGATAAATGTATCTTGGAAGTGCGAGAAAGCTAAACATTTGCATTTACATGAATTCCAAGAATCTATAAGTGACTTTGGGAATCGAAAGGTCATCTTCGTACTTTGCTAATCGCGGCATAGAATTCAGCCTGGTTGCCGACCCTGCGATCGAATAATGCGTCTCGTAAACTCCGACCGCGACGTGATTCGCATTTGTAACGAGGACGATAGCGACGAGTTCGCTAACCGTAATCGATGACAGATCATCGGATATCGACACACCCGGTTTCGCGGTTGCACGTTCTGACAGCAATGCGCTGCTCGTTGCCATGATCAATGAGTCATTGCGGTCATTGTGGGCCGATGAATAGAAAAATTGAGGCTTTGTCAGGGTAGCGTAATGCAGTCGGGAGTCATAGAATAAATAGAGGAACGATGATCCGGGATCGAAGAGTGGTTCATACTTTCGCGATAATAGAGTTGGCGCTTTTAAAAAAATTTCCCCGAAATCAGAAAAGTTTAAGGACAGGAGAGATTCTGAGAGTTTGGCAAAACGATAAGTCTCTCCCTAAATCTGAGTCAGTGAATAATCAAGAGTTATCAATCCCAAATATGCCATTGGTGATCAGTGAATTTACAGTGCAATTCAATTAAAAAATCAATAATACATGGAATCCTTGATCCTTGCTTTAGATAAAATATACATTCCATCTATTTTGGAATTGATGTGCACGTACCGGTATTTTAATTATTATTATGCTCAAACTTCTTTTCTTTTTCAGTTAAATTTCACTGATTATACAGTGACATATTTAGAACTGATAATCCACTGATTCAAATTTAGAGAACTGATCAATTTTTTTTCTTAATTATGCTATTTATGCTTAATTATGCTATTTTCTTAATTTATGCTATTTATAAAATATGTTGTAAACGGCATCATGAAAGAACGTATCTCTTGCGTAGCATGTGCTGTGTTATAGAGTCACGTAACAAAGACTTATTGTAGCATATTTCGAGATGTCATACTATCACAATGTGGTTGTCACTGCTTATTTATGAGATATTCTAGAAAATATATGTGCGAAAATTTTATGTTACATCTGAATTTCTTTTTGAACAAAAATTTAACTCAAATTTTTTAGATCAATATCGGAAATTAATTTTAATGAACTTAAGGCTTCTCACAGATTAAAATTTATCAACTTATTTTGTAATGCCTTTAATTTTTTACATGTCGCTATCATATTCTGATATTGCTAATCTTTTAATATTTTAGTATTTTTAAGCAAAATACTAAAAAATTTAAAAGGTCTCCCTTGGGAAAATTTATTTCAGAAAACTTTAAAAAAATACTTAAAACTTAATGTGTAGAGAAAATCTAAAAAATATGAAAGGTAAATTTGAACACTTTAAAATTTTCATTAAAGTAACTTTAAAACTTACTTAAGAAAACACTGAAAGGAACTGAAGAAACCGAAAGAGACTAAAGAAACTTGTAAATTAGAAAAAACAATGTTAACAATTTTGAAGTTTTTCTTTAAAATCATAATTGTAAAAATTATGAATTTGTTTAAATTTCAAGGTAAGCCTCTTTTATTTATAAAGAAGCTCGCAATTAAAAAATTATTTGGTTATAACACGAATGAAAAATCTCATAATGCTGTCTTTTATTCTCACTGAAAAAAATACATGTAATTTTACATGGAAATTACATGTATATGTCTGGAAAATTATCTAAATTACATAAATATGCTTGGAAATTTACTGGAAATTGTAAATTTCTAATCATATTTAGACAATTTTCCAGTTATGAATAATCCATGTAAAATTACATGCGTTTTTTTCAGTGTATCCTGTATTGAATCTTACTTACGAGAAAATGTAGCACCGCCGTGTCCCTCTAGTGACGGTGTCAAGTACTATGTTCGCGGGTAAATTATGTTAACTTAGCCTTACTTTAAAACTTAAGAGCACTTTAAAAATTCCAGATGCAATGAAAAGAATAAAACGTCCAGTTTGTGTTCTAAGATTATATAAGTCATCCTTGAAATACTTTAAAGATTTTATGTTATTTCAGCTTAATCTTTCCTACACTTTAAATATAATTATAAGATGGATATTCTGAAAAGTTTATTTCATTGGAACTTTATATTTCCAAGATCAAAAATTATAGAAAAACTTTAAACTTTAATGTTATTTTAGGATTACCTAAGATTTAGTGAGATTACTTTAAAAGTATTTTTCCATTCTTTAGAATATTTGAAGACAATTTTAAAGTCAGTTTTTAAAACCTTTGATTTGTCTAAGATTCTTTTAAAATTAGCTTTGAAATATTTTAAAATTTCTTAAATCATTTTAGATTATTTCAAAATTTTTTAAGTTAACTCTTACATTTGAAAGGTTACTTTTAAAAACTTTAACTTTTTTTACAGTAAATTTTCCTAAGGGCTAGTAGCTAGAAAAAATATATTTAATGTAGTGTATATTCTTATCGATATGTACCACGAAGGACAGTCACATGAGAGCTTAGAATCCCCGCGTCTTTCCGGTTCAGATATATAAATGCATCATTCGGATATTTCCGGCTAAAGTACCTCAGCTCCATTTCCGGTAGTCTCTATAATGTAGTCTCTGTGCTCTTCCGGTAGCTCGCAACGTTCCGCACAATTGGCATCTTTTTTGTGGGAAATTTCCACTTGACCGATGAGGTTTTCACTAGCCAACCAAAATCGAAGATCATTTGACCGATCGACTGAGATTGCAAAAGCGGCCATTTGACTTCGTCTATTTATGCGAAAACCACTGTCGAATCTATCTGAAAAGTTCGACATTGAAAGATACGTCTTTTCAACGTCTGATTTTTACGGTCGAGTTTTCTGTAGATTTCTTCTTTTTAATTTGATACATTGAAGATCATTGATTTCACTTGATATATCCTTCATGGGACTCAAATAATAAAATAAAAATATGGGAACGATAGTTATTTTATTGGTCAAATCGAAACCACGAAACATATCGTGAATAAACTTGATCAAGATATACACATGGAAAGAACACGGTTTTGTTGAAATATCTAAAAGTTTAGCTAGATACAGATCTGAAAATAATTTTGTTGAAATACAGGGTGTTTCCAAATTAAATGGCAAAACTTCGGGAGCGTGTAGAGGAGTAAAAAACTAAGAAAAAAAGTCCTATAGACATATGCTCCTTTTTGCTTTGTTTCGCAGGAAATCACGAAAAAAGAAAAAAATATATTTAATTTATTATTTTAATTATTTTATTTATAAACTTTTTAATGAAGATTTTGTTCGAAATGTGCACCTCTTGCAGCAATACAAGCATTGCATCTGTCAAACACGGCTCTTGTAGCAGCCAGGCACTGTTCTTGCGATATTCTGTTCGCTGCAGCTACGATACGATTTCTCAAATGTTGCTCTGATTGAATAGGCGAAGAATAAACTTCTTGCTTCAGAGTACCCCATGCATAGAAATCTAATGGCGTTAAGTCGGGCGAACGAGTTGCCCAATGTACTGCTCCTCCACGTCCAATCCATCGTTGTGGGAATTTTCTATCTAACCAGGTTCTAGCGACTCTGCTGTAATGAGCAGGGCATCCATCTAATTGAAACCACATTTCAGTACGTTGTTGTAATGGGATGTTTTCTAAATAGTCAGAAAATTCATTCTCCAAGAAATTTAGAAAACGGTCCCCATTTAATCTTGCAGGTAAAAAAAACATTTTTTTTCGATTTCTCTGAAACGGAGCAAAAACGAGCATATGTCTATAGGACTTTTTTTCTTAGTTTTTTACTCCTCTACACGCTCCCGAAGTTTTGCGATTTAATTTGGAAACACCCTGTATATAATAATAAGACTCTTTCCTTTCTTGACAATGTAAGCTGAAGTAATACATATATTTTATATAATAATAACTCTTAATGTTAAGCAATAACAAGTGGAATTAATAAGAACGTATAAGAGTTAAGCGCCGAAATTAATGCGCAAATGTAAGTATAACAATCTTTAAAACTGTTTCTTAATATAATAAAATTGTACTACGTTAAAACTTCCAAATTACATAAGTTAATTTTGTTTGTAAATATCAAATAATATATGTAGAACGCTCAAGTTGGTTGCTAGAATATAAAAAATGTTTTGCAGTTCATCGTGCTTGAATTTCCTATATAATTATTATTTCGTATATATAATAGTCCAACAATATTATTTTCTGTATCTAGCTAAATTTTTAAATATTACGGTAAAATCTTTACAGTAAATTCTTTCCGTGCAGCAATTTATAATCCTTTTTTTCGAGTCGATATAACATTTTGTCTGTTACACCAATTATTTACAGATCATGAATAACAATGTTATATAACTTTCCTTTGATTTTTTTAAAATTGTTTTGATGACAGAGATCACTAAAAAAATTATTTTAAAGGTTCGACAAATTATTTTATCTGGTAAAACCGTCTTTTATCCGTCACGAGAAACGATTAAAGTTCTTAAGCTATCTTTTACATTTGTACAAAGTTTCAGATTCTCTCGATTTTACGAGTTGCCAAACTTCTCGTGTGAGTACTCTTCGAAAATATACCTATATAAAGCGAATCTATCGTTCTTCGGACTTTATATGATTTCAATCAGAGCGACACACGTATTCCAAGTCGAGATTTGCGAATACATTGACTCGATCACGTCTCTTGTCTCAGCCGCCAGATTGAAATCTGGACTCTTTATTATGATTTCTCGATATAGACCCGGACGACTGACGAAAATACTCGACTACCGTCGGGTCTTTACGACGTGATCTTGAGCGCCGACTGCCTTTTCTTCGACGATGCTCGTCTAGATCTGGTGGAGACGATCTATGGCTGGCTGACCGACGACGGGGTCGCCCTGGTGATGGCACCTAGACGCGGCACGACATTCCAGAAGTTTGCCGAGGCGTCGATCAAACGTGGCTTCATAGCACGCCAGACAGAACGGTACGACGACATGGTGTGGTCGAGACATCTGGAGCTGTTGGAGAATAGTCCGGAGTACTGTCCAGATCTGCATTATCCGGTACTGCTAGAACTCACCAAGCAGAAGAAGACGCCGCCCGGATGATCAGGCTTGATCGACAAGGACGACGAGGACGACCGGCCGGACGAGAGTCTCAGCGAGGAATGAAAACATGTCTGTGAACATGTTCTTCTTTTTAAATATGTACACTCTTTGTGGCTGCACGCGCAATAAAATTATTGCGGAAAGGAATGAATGTATTACTTCCGAGTGAAGATGCGCGTTCGCTGTAATGGGATATAAAGATGTATAAAGCTGCCTTTATGTCGTTCAACAATGTCAAGGTCGATTTTTTATTAGTGCGTCTGATGAAACGTTTAGCGGTCACATCCATTCGCGGATCGATCTTCCGCTCGTACGCATCGTTCCACATCATCGCTGCTATCGGAAAAGTTCAATAAGGAAGGTATTATGTGCAACGTGCGAGAATTGCTCAGCGAGCTCTCTTCAATGTGTCCGGTCTTCCCTTCTCATTAATTAACCCATGAATATTTTGTAATACCCGATATTTTATGAATGAATGCGTATTCAAAAATACAAATGTTGCTCTCTAAATTCTTTAGAATGTAGTCTCATTCTAAAGAATGAAAATTGAACTAGTATTGAAAAAGTGTGGCTCAATTTTCAACCCTTAAGTGTGAGATTTTACTCTTTAGAGTGAGACTCTAAATGTTTTAGAGAGTAATTATACCCGTGTTTTTAATATCTCATATATTTATTTGAACCGAACTATGTATGATCAATTCGATACATGTACAATATTTATTTAAAGCGCGTCTTGTAGCGCGAATATTTGCAGCAAATATACGCGGAGTGGCATAGCGAGCCATAATCCTTCGCTTTAAATTAGTTTAAAATATCGTAGAGCCCCACAAATATTATTCTCATTCGCAGCAGGTGAAGCTTCTGGCACCATTTTGCACGCAGCACATATCAAGAAATAAGAAGTGAACTCCAACAGTGAATATTACAAAATGTTTCGAATTATTGAATTCTACGATGAAGAAGAATGTCGAACCTAAGTTAATATTCATAGTCGATTCTTATTTCAAGACCGTCTTAAGTAAGTGTTTGAGATACTAATATGATTCTGTGATTGGTTTGTCACATTTTAAAATTGTACTTAAGATCTTAAATATAAGAACTGACTATGAATACCAGCTTAAAGTTATCTCTAAAATATTTATGTCATGATATATATGTCGGACGACAAAGATTGTATTACAGAAAATAGGTTTTTAATTAGCCAAAGTTTTTGAGGGTTAATCGTCGATCTAATAATTCATCGACGTTAATCTTCGAAGAAACGTATTTATAAATTATGAATTCTTCCAAAATAGATCGTATAGTGTCCATTACGTCTCATATATTTTTCATCTGATGTTAAAACGTGGCTCTTGATAGAAAGGACCTTTCTTAGGCGTACCTGATTTTATAATATATCGAACTTGGTAGAAATGTCGAAAAGACGATCGAGTTTCGGACTAAAGTGTCGTTTATAATACGGCAACGCGATACTGGCAATTTTATCTTCAATTATCAATTATCAATTAAACGTCGACAGTAAGTTATAGATAACTCGAGTAATCTCTCGAGTTCCTCGTTCTTCGCAGCCGGCAGGACCAATTGTATAGACCGAGTAATGTTTAGATACAGTCGAACCATGACTGGTATAGACTGCGAAGTCATTTCCAGTGAGCTCTATTCATTGCAAAACTGCGCTAAAAGACATCTCCGTATTCTTGAATAAGGAAAAGAGTATATCGATACCGTTAATGCTATTTGGGTCCAAAACTAAAGCGAAATCTCTAACAGAAGCAAAATATTGACATTTGCTGATTCAGCGATCCAACGTTGGATTCAGACGTTAATGAAATATCAATTATTACGATTGTTACTATAAACAGAGACAGATATAGATCGTTATACTCGATATATAGTTGCAGGATAAATTTAAGAATTTCAGACAAATTCTTACGCAAGTCGATTTTGCCTTATTCGTATTACATACATTGTAGTAATTTATTTATTTATTTATTTAGATGCGTTTATATCTTTATGACGAAGAAATTCTCGAGTATTTTCTAAGCATCTCCGATCATGTTATGAACCTATTACCTCAAAGGACCAATATTTATAGACACAGTTAAGTCTAGTCAGAATTACCAAACGTACTTCCATTATTGAGTATCTTCTTATACATATAAGAGTCAAGTGTCCATAAAATCTCTCTATTTGTGTAAAGACAGGATTATAATAAATTAAAGGGATTTAGTTGCAGGAAATGTCATTATACGCTCGGAAAGAACGATTTTGCTGAAGTATCTAAAAATTTAGCTAGATGTAGATCTGAAAATAATTTTGGACTATCAAAATAATTATGTAAACGCTTAAACGTTGATGATAAGGCTGTAAAATGGTTTAACATTTTAGCAATTACTTTAAACAATCTACATAATTAATTTGATGGTCCAAACAAAATTATTTTTAAATTTGCATCTAATTTTTTAGATATTCAGCAAAACCATTTTTTTCCATGTAGAAAGAACGGAAGCTAATTTAAAAAAAAATCGATACTTTTCTAAAGTTTTTGTACTGCAGTTTGAGATTAAAATCAGCAGACACGTTTTCCCGAGACTGTTAATCCACGTGGCTAGACGGGAGAATTTATGGACCCTTTTTAGCCCTAGAGAGCCATTTGTGTACATGTGCATTACGTGCGAGAGAATCTCCATAGTAATAAACTATTTTCACTTAAAAGCGCCGCATTTTTCTCGTGTCGCCCATACCCCTCCGACGAAGATAATACAATCGTCACGTTGCGCTCGCGTCGCAAGACGTCGGAGAAATGCCGTTGACAAATCCACAACGATGTGGTCGCGCGTCGCTGCGTCAGAATAAATAATATCATTTAACGTTCGTCAAACATCCTGTCTACTTCCTAGTCTGTCGTGCAATAGCTATATTTGTCCATCTTGATTCTGTCTATATGATTAATTATATATAGTTATATACGCAAGTATTTCCTCTCATACAAGTTGCCAGAATCTGACGCAATCTTTGCAGGACTGCCCACCTGGTTTCTTAGGATCGAGGTGTCTCTAATTAAGTTTAGAGTGTCTCCAAATTTTAAAAGACTCCTAATTTTGATAGTCTAATCTAAACTATGCAGCCTTGATAGATAATAGACAAAAGACATTGCGACTTATGTAACGTTCCAGAGTAAAACAAAATATAACATAATAAAAATAAACAAAAGAAGTACCAAATATAATATGATATTTTATAATATGTATATAAAATTTATAATATAATATATAAATATAATTATATAATAAAATTTGAAATTCATGGAATAAAGCAAAGCTAACGATGAAAAATACTCTGATTATATAAGTAACAATTGTATTATTAATTTCGTCAAATATCTCAATTTATTTAAAGGTTACATTCGATTACTGGAATCTAAAAATGAAAACCTCGACAGATGGTTGCGATTAACATCTTATGTTCCGTGACGAATGATATAATAAAATAAATTACCTAGGAAAGCAAAATCAATCAATCTCGGGAATATCTCGGGGTACAATATCGTTCGCCTGTTTATTTTATTATCCGACGATGCACGTTTATTTTAGTCTTAACTGCATGTTATATTTCGTGCAGTGCGCGACATAAGCTTATAAATTCGATTGCTCTAAATTCAGTGAGATCGTCTGAAATTGCGCAAAAATCGTTTCTCGTCGATCGTATCTCATAATATCTTGCTTACTTTATGTCGGCGTTAACAATTTTTTGACGCATAAGCCAAGAAAATATCTTTAAATTTACACGATTTTCTGTAATTTTTTCTAAATTTGAATAAATTTACGTCTGATTTGTATAAATTTATGTTTGATAATATTATGATAATATTTGATATTATAAAATATTTTGATGTGTATTTTTTTTGTTCCATTTAAACATTTAGTCTCTACTAATGTAGATTCTAGTTTTAAAAATTAGGAAAAGATAAAAAGTTGAACAGAGATTAACGTTATATTAATGAAGATGGACAGTAATCGAATGCCGATTGATAACATATCTCCATCGATATTTATGGGTCAATTCGTAAAGTTCGTAACTTATTCTCGTAAGATCTGTAAGAACTTATGACTGGAATTATAATTCTATGCGTACGTAAGACGTACGATCACTCGTAAATATTTATATGATTTCTCGTAAACCTTACAGTTAGCAAGAAACTGCTGTAAAGATATTGCATAAAGTTATAAACATTCCAGTCATAAATTCTTACCAGTCACAAGTCTTATGAGAACAAATTATGAGCCTTGCGATTCTGCTTAGAATTGACTTATTAGTTTCCTGCAACATTAAGACATTGTCAATACGCAATTTTTTTATATTCAAAAATTGTTAGTCACGATATAATGATTCAGGGTCGGCCTATTTTTACATGTAGGCGTTTTACATTGTCGCTTATAGCATTCGTAATTATCTTCAGCGTCGTAGTGGAGCTATAAAAAGGAGGACGCGTCAGTGATTCGTTTATATAATTAGACACTTTCCTCGCCGCGGCCTCATTAAAATCAGTGTAACTAAGCGTGTGCGTGCACCCAGGTTGATCGATCGTGGTAAGTAAATTTCCATTGCGTCCAGAAGCAGCTCTTACATCGCCGGGAATAGATTTTTCGCCTGGCTACGAGATTTTTTAAGTACCTAAGTACACTCACCGCACAAGTACGAGAAGCCCGTAACAAAAGAAACAGCTGATCAGGATACAGCGTATCTCAAGGAAACTCTTAAGCACCTCGTTTCACTCGGAAAGCTCCGAAATGAATTAATCATATCGATTACACATCAGCCAACATCTGTTCCATCTCACATTTATAGACAGCTATCTTTAATTAAGACCAGAATGAACATTTCAGTTACTGAGTATCTATGAAATTAATATAGGAATAATTTGAGTTAAATCTACAAGCGAAAATTTTGCAGAAGGGATTTAAATCTGCAAAAAATCAGATTAACGTGTCGGAGTAATATTATCTTTCTCGGAATAGTAATCATGATTATTGGCAAATAGTATTAAAGCTAAAATAATGGTTTTTATATATAATCACAGATAAAATTCGTATGCTTTATAAATTAAGTTTATTCAAGTAGAGCATTGAGGTTCGCGAAATTGTGTCGTTTATTATATTTCACTAAAACAATAGTTTGCTCGTCTTCATATGAAACCTCGATTAACTCAAGGTACTATTAAAAAATTCGGAGCTAGAGATGCGAGAATAATGTGAGTATTATTAACGTGTGAAATGGGATATTGCGAAGATCTCGTTAAGGAGGTCAAAATGTCTGCAGGGAAACTGGAACTTCGTCCCGAGCTTGTTAGGAAAACCGTGTATTGGACGACGACAACTGGGATTTTTTTTTCCTCAGAGACGACAGAGACGTGATGCAAATAATCCGAATTAAGTTCGCGGCCATCCTGGCGCG